ACTACTCACAATTCTGACTTTTTTTTTCTCAGAACTGCAAGTTTATTTCTTTATAAAAGTCAAAATTTGAGAGATATAAACTTCATTCAGACTTGGTTTAGATTTTAGATTAAAATTTGAAAACAATGTCACACATTGAAAGAATCTTACAGCAGCGACATCAAAATATTTGCATGCTGAACCATGATTGGTCGTGATTTTTCTAAATGTCACTATTTTTTGCATGCATTATTTCCCTCAGAAAAGGCAAGTTTAGTTGAAATGATTTCTTTTGGTCTGTATATTGCTCTTGATCAACCGTCCTTATTCAGAGGACAAAACAGCGAGGTTTGAATAATGGGTGCATGTGTCTCTCCTTATTCTGTTTTCATCAGCCCATCCCCCCGTTCTTGCAGATTAGAATTCATTAGCAATCAAAGAGCCTCTGTGGAACTCCTGTTCTTAATTACCCACTCATTTGCATTTTTGCATATTAATGACTGCAGAGTTTGCCGCCTGACTGCGGCAGTGAGCGAGGCTTTAAAGTCACCCCGTCTTTTTATTCTCACATGACGACTGCGGGGCAAATACCCCGAATCAGTGTGAAAACCAGACGCGCCCCATCACGACCCCATACACGGGTCACTAGTAAAAATCACTGACCGGGCCAAAACCTTCACGCTTTCACCCACAGATTTGCCACAGATGCTAGTAATAGTGAGAGTAAACCGCATGTTATTATGAGTTCATGAGTCATGCACTGCTCAGTATTTCTGTCTTGTTTTCCAGTACAAATATCTAAAAATCTAACCTTAATTTACAAGACACCACTAGATCTAATAGTGACTGAAGGAATAGTTCACCCGGAAATGAACATCTACTGAAAATGTACTCATCCAAGATTAGGATGAGTTTGTCTCTTCATCAGATTTGGAGAAATGTAGCATTGCATCAGTGTCTCAGCAATGGATGCTCTGCAATGAATGGGTGCCGTCAGAATGAGAGTCCAAACAGCTGATAAAAACATCACAATAATCCACAAGTAATCCACAGCACTCCAGTCCATCAGTTAACATCTGGAGAAGACAAACGCTGAAACAAATGCATCACTGATACTTTTTTAACTAAAATATGAGTCCATAATTGATTAGTCAACAGAAGAGACAGACGGCTGCACGTGAGTGTCCTCCGTAATACTTGTTTATAGATCTGCTGTTGGAATTATTACCTGCTGCTAGGAAGGAATATTTCGTTTTCTGCCTATTTCTACGTTATATTTTTGTTTGCGTTTGTATTTTTGATTGCACTTTCTGGTAATTATAATAATTGCCCTCGGCAAAGAAGGAGCGCGTGTAATTTAATTGCTCCC